TCTGCGATCGTCTACGATCGTCTGCGATCATATGGAAACCAGCCTTTAATGGTATCAAATCAGCGGTGTTGTAAGAGTTCTTCAAGATGTCAATATTCCCCAACTCAGGAAAATATAATTCCCTGACCTTGAAAAATTCTCTTCCCTGGCTATTTCCTGAACTGTGGCAACCCCGCTTTCAGAACCGATTCCGTTGAATGGAGAAAGAAATACACATTTTATCACACTTTTCATTTTATTCGTCTGATAGATTACTCTTTGTAGATGTGGTGTGAAATACAGCTTCTCAAAAAATGAAATATTTACATTGTACGATATAAGCGACCAAGTAAGGTAATAAATTACTTGCTCGCTGTCACCAAACTGTCAAATCCCCCGTCCCTTGCAACCTAAAGACAATTGTCAAAGATATCTTACGTCTTTAACACTCAGAGCGATATAAAGTCCCTGTCATCGTTATATGTTCTTCAAAGACTAACATTTTCGCTTTCTTTGAATTCGAGAAATATTTCAAGTCTTTTCAGTACATCCGGGATAATGAAGGTGGCGGAGCCTCGATTCTGCGCGCGACCTCGTTGCAGTACTTGTCGGGAACACCAGCTTCTCTCAGCTCCTGAAGTTTTCGTCTTTTGATTTCGTCTAATTTCTGTCGCCTGGAAGCAAACAGAATAAAGTTTGTCAATGAGGGAAGCTTGCAAAATTTGAGGTCTTTTACGTTTGAAAAACGAAAAAGGGCCGGCTACGATTTTCGGGAAATGGACAAAAAAAAAAGCCCTATTAAATAAATACGCAGGATAAATTCGATAAGACTCAGTGGTTCCTAAAATTAACCAACAAGCACCCCAGATAACCTATAACAGCGTTCAAAGCATTTGAAAGAAAAGAACGTCGTTGGTTGACTCTGACGATTTTACTTCGTGAAAAGCATTGAACAGCCGGCCGCGTAAAAAAAAAAACAAAAAAAAAACCACGTGTTTTACTAACTTTGCATTGACCGATCACGATGACGCGATCTTCGTTCTGATTGGTTTGGGTAGCCGTGACGAGTTTCTTCGACCAATCAAAACTGTTTTTGTAGCTAAGAGGAACACAGCTAAGGCGTCGTCCACACTGCGCCAGTCGAATTTGAAAATGCAGCTTTATTTCTACGGTTAGGCCTAACGTCCACACTAATCCGTCACGAAAACGATGCTTTTCGAAAACGCCCTTCAAACCAGATGAATTTGAAAATTTAGTGTGGACGGGAAACATTTCGAAAACGATGGCATTACGATAATAATGTGATTTCCCTGGCATAGTTTCCTCAAACACAAATCCAAAAAGACCGTTGATTGTTGCGTTTTCAAATTCTCTGGCGTAATGTGGACGAAAAACATTTGATGGGTTTTCAAATTTCTCTAGTGTAATGTGGACGGGGCCAAAGATACAAATTCTGATTTAAGAATAACTATATCTAGGCACATTTTCACTGTCATTCTTGAGAAAACAAACATACCTAGCTTTAGCTTCTTGGTCCAGCTTGATTCCTTCCTCAAAGAAAGCGTTCGTCGCCTTAATGCGTTCTTTCTCTTTTTCACGTATTTGTTGACGCACTTCTTCTGCATGCTGATGGCGACGGATACCTTCGATTCGGTCAGCGTCTTCGTCTTTCAACGTCTGTTCTTCTTGTACCCTGCAAATATCGAACACTTGATTGAGATAAAAACTCAAACTGCGGGTATGTTATAAGAGCAAGAGATTCACTTTCATTAGTCGCTAAAACATGACTTATGAAGTCTTAATGACATGACAACCTTCGGAATAGGCGTCGGAATAGTCGCAAGAACTCGTGCTATTTCTCGATTGGATAATGCAAATCGGAAAATCTTCCGGCGCCTCTATGAACGCTCATCAAAACCGAATGATGTTTTCGGCAGTTTCCATGGCGGGAAAAAAGCCCGCCGAAACTGACAGACACGCGGGCGATGACTGTTTCTTTCTTCAAAGAAGTCAAAGCACAGAAAAAAAGACTATTTGTGAATGTTTGAGAAGTGCAATGGGACTCACTTTAACACTCTTTCAAACTCAGCCCTGTCTCTCGCAGCCTGTACAGCCAAGAAGTGTTCCTTATTCTTCACTTGGTCTTCCCGTGCAGCTCTCAACATCTCTTCTGTCCTTTTCCTGTGAAAAACAAGTGCAAAGCGTCGAAGTTAGCGAGAGATTTTGTATAGATAGTACAGTGGGAAATATTCCTTTGGCGATTAATCAGTGGCAGATCTAGGGGAGGGGCCCGGGAGCCCGCCCCCCTTCCCCCCTTGGCTCAAGGTCTTGATCCGCCACTGGTAATCTCAGGTTTATAGGACTGCATTATCGAGCATTACGGACAAGCTGTATAAAAGCAAGTCGATGTGTTTAAAAAAACAATATCCACAACGGAATTAATTACTTTTTCTCTGCCTCTTCTTTTTCTTTCTTTCTCCATTCCCGTTCAGCTTCCTCTTGATTTCTTTTGGCTCTAAGAGCATCCTAGGAAACCAAAATCAAGGTTAATTTTTGACATTACATTTAAACCTCAAAACTAAGGAATATAACGTGTTCATTGGCCGAGAGCTATACTCTATTAAACAGGAGTATCTAATACCCAGAGACCTGATAACTTTGTTTAGAGTCTAGTTTCAGACTTATCCACGCCAAAAAATGAAAACGAAAGAAGAATGAAACCAAGAAAGTGGATGCAGGCATTTTTCTGTTACCTTTTCTGCTTGTTTGTCTTTAGCTCTCTCTTGCTGTGCACGAAGACGTGCAATTTCTTTCTCTTTTTCCACTCTAGCAATTTCTAGTTCACGCTGGTAGGCCTCCTCTCTTTCCTGTACATAAAAAAAATCGTAAAATTAGAGGTTATGCGGTGGTGAAATTTAAAACTTGTAAAGAGATTTTATAAGTAAAACCATGTTTGTAAATCAAAATGGCACCGTGTCACATACCGCTTTCTGTTTCAGATACTCCATGACCTTAATTTCCTCAAGTTTCTCCTGCTCTACCTTGCGATCCTTCAGCAGCGCGATTTCCTGAGTGAAACGATTAAAGTTACAAGTTGTTGATAAGCTGCTATGTAACTGTGCTGGCAGTGAGACAATTGAACGGAGTTCAAGGTCCAAAATGGGACAACGTGCAGTGTTATAAACATGTAGGGATGTGATAATTATTTAAAGGAAACTTTGTATAATTTTATATCTAAAATATTACATGGAGTAGGGAGACCATTTTTAATGTGGTAGGGATAAAAATCTGGCCAGGACAAACAAGCATTAGGGGTCACTGTTCTTCCAGTTATCATGCAACTGGAGCCCTAAAACTCAATCCAAGGAGAAAAGTGGAAGGGCTGTAGCTTTACTAGTGNCCCCCCCCCCCCCCACCAACTCCCTGTGGTTCCTGTAGTGTATATTAAAGATAAATATAATAGCTGTGCTAGCAAGGGTGATGTTACACTTTTTGTCTGTAAGATATAGACCATGTCAAAGGTTACAGGATCAATAACAGCATTGGCATAATACTAGCCTGTGAACACCAACGTATTTCTGGTTGTCATTTGTCTCCATTGAAAAGAAAAATTTTCTGCAGAGAGAAGCGACAACCAGAAATACGTCTGCATTCGCAAGTTAGCATAATACCTTCATCTACAAATGCTCACCTCATTTGCTTTAGCAACATCTACCATTAAAGCTCTTTGAGTCTCTCTCTTTTTGATTAAGTTCTCCATATCCTCTTGTTGCAATTTTTCCAGATATTGCAACATTGCCTATAACAGAAATGGCATATTCTCACTGTTTTGAACTACATACATCAAGTGATCTAACTTGAAAAAGATACTTGAAGTGGATATTACAGGGTTAGTCATTCTTGTCTAAAGGCAGTCAGTGTAAAACACAGACTGCAGTCTACAGACCGGGGGTAAAATGCAGACTGAGGGTAAAATGCAGACTGTATACTGTAGACTTCTTAACTGAACCTTGTTGACATTTCCATAATTGAGAGCTAACCATAAACAGGCTAACCACAGCACTATTGAGGCTATCTGACAGCTACTCAGGCTAACTGGAGCGTAGACTTCGACTACGATTAGCCTAAATAAGTCTGTTTACGGTTAGCACTCGATAATGGAAATAACACAATACATTGTATATATTTGTAAAGTATGCAGTCAGCATTATACCCCTGGTCTGCAGTCTGCATTTTACCCTCAGTCTGCATTTTACCACCGGTCCACAGTCTGCAGTTGACATTTTACACTGATCACTCTGAAGGCTTTATTCAACGGGTGCTGCTGGGAGAAAAAGTGTCTTTTTGTATATACAAATGTATAAAAACCTTAGTTTCTTGATCCTTCCTTTCCTCATCCAGGAGTCTACTCTGTTCATTGTCAGTGATCTGTAGCTGTATAACTTTGGCACCTTTGAGCCTTTCAAAGTGAGCTACTTTCTCACGCTCTTCATACTCTTTGAGAGCTTTGAGTCGCTCCACCTCCATCATTTCATCAAGTCGCTTTTCTTCCTCTAGCTGCTCCTTCTTGATCTCAACCTTTTCAATGAGCTGTGCATCACGGATTGCATGACACTTGGCATTCAAAATGAGCTGTAATGAAGTAAGTACCAAATGGTTTAGAGCCTACAGGTACTGGGTTAAAAGTAAACAGTCAATATGCACCAAAGTTCAGAGACATGATGAAACTAGTTTCTGAATTATAAAGATTTTAATCTACCTCATTCAGCTTCTTTATTTCGTCTTCTTGTTCCTCCATTTGTTCATTAGCCTTTTCTAGTAATGTACCACTCTCCTTCATGGCCTCCTAAAATATTGAAACCAATACAATACATTTTATAGCATCTTTTGATCCATTTTGAGTTACCTTGCATCTAATGCCTAAGAGTAGACTAGTACTCTACGAAAAGTAGTTAATGATTTAGTCAGTTACGCACTGACTATAAAACGACAGGGGTGGAAATGGATAACATGTGAGTAGAATTTATATAAAGAAGGACATTAATTTGGTCAAGAGGTTGCTGAAAATCGGGTATTGAATTTAGTAAAAAAATTGTTTATGTTTATTTTGATCCTCCTGGAATAAAATAAGAGAAATTTTCTAATTCATAACAAAACATGGTTTGAGCATCTACATGTAAGAACACATTTCTCACAGAGTATTATGTACACATTACGCTTGGTTACCTGTTCAAGGTCAGAAGGTTTAGCATTCTCTTTTCGTTTCAGCTCCATGGTCTGCATAAAGTTCTTACGTTCCTCTGAAGCATTCTGTAGTGCTTCTTTCCTTTGTTTCAATTCTTCTATAGCGGCTTCTCTTTCTGTTTGTGTAGGAACGTGGGAGGCAGACTATAAAAGAGAAATAATATTAAAAGATAATGAGACCTTTCTGTACAGTTATGTATAATTTGACCCAAGTTGAAAGAAAATTAATTCTACAAGTGATTCCGTAGCAAATTCTGTAGCCCTAAACTATGAAGCGCAGGCTTCTTATTGTGAATTTTATATGCTGTTATTATTATAAAACAAACCTTGATTCGTTGAAATTCCCCAGCTTCTAATATTATAGTCCTTCCAGAAGGGTCTTCCTTTGGAACCCTGAACACAAAGGTGAACAAGAACATCAGTTTTCACTTCAACTCATTATTTGTTTCTTCAAAAAAGTAATGTGAATTTGTAATTTATAGGCCCTACATGTATATAAACCTCATGTACAAAGTGCCTACCTTAGTCTTCGGATCAAATCCTTTGTGATCACCTGAATCATTTCTGGTTCTTGAGATTTACCTGGCGAGTTTTTACCTAACATAAAGCACACAGCAGTTAGCTGATGAAAATTTTTACATTGATATTGGTGAAATAGAAGTTAATAAATATTATTATTATACCCAACTTCAAAGTTACTACTTCATGAAATAACAAAAAATAAGCACTTGAAAATTATCAATTGAAAGTAAGATTGTTTTGCTGTAAAAGACCTTTCCAGAAAAAAAATTGCCACTACAAAACTAATATTCAAGGGTACACGACAATGGCACATATAGCTTTTTATCTAATATCAGTTGGGAATTGTCAAGTCAAGATATATGCATAACTCACCACTACTGCGCCTGCGGGATCTCTCAGACAGCGCTTCAGCAAAAGCATTCTCTTCTCCAGGTCTTGTCTTCTTTGGTGAGGCAAATAACGATTCATCCTAACAACAGAAAGGCGTCTTTCTTAAAGGTTGACCAACAAACATAAAATAAATCCTACGGGATGTAAGTGTCAAAATGCTGTATTGCACTAAGGAAGTATGGAACTTATTAGTTATATTTATAGTAAACTGGTCATGTTTTGAATATTAGCTCTTCAACAGAGCAATTTTTTCAAAGCAGCTAGTTTATGAACAAACTTCTTAACTACAAACAGTTTAACACACATCATTTATTAGCTTTACCCTGAGCACATTTAACTCATGTTGACCAGGGGTTTTATAATAGTAACTAGGGTAACACAATATCCAAGGCAGTTAACCTTGCGAGGCAAAGCCCTTTGATTTATTTTTCCATTTACAGTAAAACCTTCTTAATATCTGTAATGTTAATATTTTTCAAAATGTCCTTTCTTTTATATCTTGAACTTCTATTAAAAGAAGTCATAAATTTTTCCGTAGGTAAAGATTATATGCAAAATATCCCCCTGTATTCCCCCCAAAATATCCCGTTGTCTGAGAAGGGTATTGCAGCTTTAACTATGTTTTAATTCGATTGCTGTTCACAAAATGTAGCTGAAAGAAATTCATAGAAGCTAGAACAAATCCAGCTGTATTGTACCGTTACAAATTTGGCATGTATATTCCACAAGATACAGCCTAAATTCACTCTTAAATTCGGTCTACTTCTGTTATAAAGTTAATAACGATCTTTCAACGCAGTTGCTAAAATAATGATGACAATATTGGTCTCGGTACATGTAGAAGTTAAGTTATGTATAACCTGGTAATCTTGTATTTTCGATCGACCTTTTTGATAACATACAAACTAAACAGCTACCATTTTTAAAGCAAAGAACTTTTCAAGACCTTACCACTGTGGAAGTCTTGTTTACAGTATGATATTGTCTGGTCCATGATTTTCTAGATACATTAGATCCGGCTGATTCTACCGACCCAACAGTGCTGTTTGGCTATAGGAAAATGGATTGAATACGGCGTGAGAAAATTCAATATGCTAGGATATCATGAGGTGAGAAAACAATTCTTCTACGCCTGGTAGATAACTTGGGTCTTCATGTGAATGGAGGTTTATACTTACCATCTTGAATCAATCTTTTACGCGCTGAATATTATTTCGTTGTTGGGATGTGAAATCAATATGGCGAGTCGCTCGTTGCAATGCGAAGAAATATTGCCTTGTTTCCAAGACAACAACACTTACAAACAACCGCGGAGACCCTGGGGCAAACTCAAAATAATTTCGGCCCCAGATTCTCGGACGAAGTAGTTTTCAAGATGGCGTCCTTGATGGGTCCCTCTGCGCGTGGAAAGCTTTCTCGACTTTTGCCATCTTTTCTACACTTGAGAGATTATTGCCATGCTGCTGCGATGGAGAATTATCTTTACCACCCTAAAAGTCGTCCTTTGGAACCAGAAGTTCAGACTCTAAACTTGACTAAGACTCTGCACATGGGGGAGATTTCAAGTTGCTTGCAAGATATTGTTATTGATGCTGCCACAAGAGAATCAATGATGCCAAAATTCAGACAAAACATAATTCAAACAAGGCTGATTAATTTTGATGGAGAAATCGCCACGAGGGACAAGTGTGCGCTGCCTCTGATGCAAAATATGTTGAGGGTTGTATGGAGTTCTACCAACTGGTGAGAAATTGAACATAAACTTAATATTTTCAACTACAACGAAAAGACCGTTTTCAGGTTGCTTGAAATTAGTAATCTGGAAGGAAAGATAGAGTCCATGATTTCATTTTAGAGGGCAGATGCAGCCCACCAGTTGTAAAAGACCTGGTCGTCTTAAAATCATGAGGTTAGCCAAGGGTTTAAGCGTCATGTCATGAGAGCAAAAATCACATTATAACATGTGAAATGTAACTAAAAGTTAAAATTAGTGCATGTGATGGGATCCTTACCCCACACCCTCCACCCCACCCCGCTTCCCCTACCTTAGCCACTCTCTAAAAATTATGGTCACCATAACTTGAACTCTGGATCAAGTGGTCCAGATTCAAGCCTTAACCAAGACTGTTGTGTTGAATTTTTAGGTAAATTGATCAACTTTGAATCTGGCCCTATCTACCTGAGTGTGTAAACAGTTCTAGGAAATCATCGCGATGATGTGCCAAAATGCTGAGGACTTCTCAGGGAGGGAGGGAGGATGGCATGATAATTTCTTGATTCCTTGAAAATTTCACCTTTACCCACTTGTTTCCTATTAATAAATTCCATAATGCTTTCTAAAAATGTTTTTTCAAAGTTCCCTATTCCTTGGGATATTCCTTGTTCCCTCAAATCAATCCCAAAAAATATCAGGATGCAGGGGCTGATCTACACTGTAGGGGGAGGGTGCAGGGGGTGTGCAGCCCCACTGAGATGAAGCCTTCTTCTTCATATAATTTTTGCTTTTAAAATTTGTTTACCTCACCAATCAGTTACAGCCATTTTACGTTTTAGTTTCCCAGGTCTTCTGGAAACCTCACTGACTTACAAGCCTCATGTCTCCGCATATTGGGAAAGAGAACACAAGATACAAGTTGGTGGACATGTTGGTTTTTTGTTATCCTCAAAGAATCAGCTAAAACAAGTTGCTGACAGCCAAGAAGTAAAAAAGACTAAAGAAATTGAAGTGGAGAAGCCAGATATAATTTCTCCACTGTTTCATCTAAACACGTCTAAAAAAACCAATCCAAAATTTGAAACTGGTTTCTATAACAATTCACCATTTCCCTATCCACACACCTTCATCATGGTGTGTGAGGACATAAAGCAGAACACAAGTCAGTTGGTTGGTCAAGGTAAGGTACAAATGCCACAATGCACAAAAAACAAAGAACTCCCCTGAAATTGCTACATGTAACACAATAGGGTTTCATTCACAGAAGAAAGGTTAACAGCATCTTGTTGACAATAATAGAGCGCACCATACTTGTGTAAGAAAAAAAGAAACCCATGAATTGATTTTTTCATGGTTATCATGGCTTGTGGTATTGCTTGGGTGGCATGCACACAACATCGACAACCCAGTCGTGCAACATTGCAGCCATACTCCAGCTAATAGGTTGACCCAGACATGTAGCCTTCATTTTATATCTTTGATTATATTTGTGATTATTTTATGGTCAATTGACGCCTTTCAAAACAAGGTATCCACTGGCTAGTATCACACAACCATATCATGAGCTCAAGTGTGGAGTGCAACAAGATAATGTGTTTTTTTCAAATTGACTGCCGACCAAGCATTGTTTTTTGATTGAATAGCAGGCTCAAGCCAGGTTAACCTGTTGTAATCAGGACCTGGAGGTCTCAAAGGTGGTTAACGCTAACCCAGGATTAAAAGTTTACCGAAGTATAAATTTTTCTTGCACAAAAACGTTTCCACTGCTTATGTTTTGTGTAGATTATTAAGGCTCAAAACAGAAGGCCAAACAATACAAACAGAAAACCTCACCCCATAGCTTTTGCAAAAACATTTAAAAATTCATCACATACTTGCTTTTTGCTTCCGATCTATTACCTGTTTTTGGTAAACTTTCAAAAGTATCACTTTGTTGCTTATAACAAAAAAATCCCAAGATCCACAATAATTGTTTTGGACTGTCAGTCAGGAAGCATCCCACAATGATAGGGATTTATTTCAAGACCAATATATTTCAGGAACACTTTACATGGAGGTAGGTGGGGTGGCGGGAAACAGGCAAGACTTAAGCAATTAGATCTCTGTTAGATTTTGCCATATTGTTCACATGATATGGTCACACGATTCTGGTCAGTGGATGCCTTGGCTTGACTGTTGTCAGTTGACCATAACATGGATGTCCAATGTCAAAGATGTACACCATAAACAAGGATGTCTTTATGAGCTGGAGGACGGCCACCATGTTGCGCGATATCATCGTCGTTGTTGTAGGTCACACACCCCCGCAATCCATGCTGCTAGCAATGTCGACCATGAAAAGAGAGTTGCATGGTTTTCTATTTCTATGCATGCATGTTTTTCTGTTCTTATAGTTTTGATGCTCCGCTTTGGGTTGCCGGAGCTTGGCTAATAATCAGTACCACATGAAAGTGCTGCTCAATAGCTTTCATTTGCATGGTCACATGTGACAGGGTTTCATCCACAGATTTAAAAACTAGAGCCATTTTGCATAGCATAACGGACCACATATTAAAAATACTACATGAAAGTACTGTGCAAAAGCTTCCATTTGATTGGTCAGAGAGTGGTTATTCAAATCTCAGGGCTTGGATAAGACTGTTGACAACCCTCTATTTTCTCGTATTTTTACTTGATCGTTGAACGTACGGATAGAATCGCGAGAGAACTGGACGCCAGCACAAAACGGGAGACTTGACAGGGTAGGGGGTACTTCTGCCATATTTGTGACAACTTTTCTGCAAGATTTGCCCCTGCACTCACTACTATGTTTTATTTCCACCTGCAGGCATCATGTTCTCCTGTGCACGGCTTGTTGCAGATGCTGTACAGAAGCGCAATTACCAAATAGGAGATGAGTTGGAAAAACCGTTAGCTACTCAATGTATCCTCACTGACGGAATAAGACTCACATTTATACATTACCAGCTGAATACCTTGAGCTTTAGTGATGATGGAGGCATCAAAAACATGGCTTGGATCAGTCCAGGGGTGTTCATGTATAAAAGGATCGTGTTTGATGACATAGAAAAGAGAGAAAAAACCGCTAAGGAGAGGAAGAGGTTTCGACGTGCAAAGAAAGATCCAGCAAAGCATGAAATAGTGCTAGAAGACTTTAATGATGAATGCTTTGAAACTTTCGTTAAAATGATTGTCAGTGGATGCCACGCCAGTTAAAGAGAAATTCAATTCAAATATTAATGAAACAAACAAGCAAACAAGCAAACAAACAACACATTTTCTTAGTGGTGAAAGTTTAAGATGAAAATACAGCGATTTTTTGTTGAAGACTACAAACCTAAACACGTCACTGGAACTTACAGTGTATTTTGCAAATCTCGACCCTCCCACACTGACTTGCATTTGGCCATGTCGCGCCCTGTGTGTGATGCATGAGGTGTGACAAGCCAAAGAGACCTTCGTACAATCGATCGCCTGGTAGCAGCAGCAGCAGTAGTAGTAGTAGTAGTAGATACTCTTTTTACGAGGGTGACACTTAATAGCAAATCAAAAAGCTGACAAATGCGTGGCCCCCCAAAATTACTATAACAAGATCTACCAAATCTACAACTTTAATTTAGTAGTAAAAATTAAGAAAAGACAGTTTAAATGAAAACGTACACAAGAAGAGACGGAGACTGCAATGAAAATGAGTAAGAGCTTTCATATGTTCTTGTTCAGCGTTCTTTCAAAATTTGAAATGTTTTCCATGGATATTTTTCTCTTTGGCAGAAATCCCTTTAAATCAATTGTTTCTCATTCTGGTTTATTCATAAAATGTAATATTGGAACATAAATTTATTGAAAACAACCCGTTTAAAAATAATAGTACCTGTATAATATAAGAGATTTGCTTGCGCGGCAAAAAATTGCATGGTTCCTGTCACGTTACTTACCATTTCCCAAACTTGACTTCTTTTATCGAACTTTGATTGCATTATGGCAATCTCGTCTTACTTGGTATTCCTTCTTTTCAATTTCTTTTGTTTTGTTGTTGTTGGAAGATTCTAAAAGCTCAGTACTTGACACAAACTTTTGAAAACGTTCCATTGTCTTGGGTGACTTGACAGGACTTGCGACAGTCCTGGCCTTATCTGAGGCCCCGTCCTCACTACGCCGGAGAATTTTGAAATGCCGTCTTACATTTTAGTGTGGACAGAAAACAATTTGAAAACGGAGCTTTTCACAAATGATGACGTCAAAATAGTCATGGATTTCCCTGCCCGAGGTTTCCTCAAACACGTATCTAAAATAACTGGTGAGTGTTGCGTTTTCAAATTTCTCCTGCGTAGTGTGGAGGGAAAAGATTTTGAAAACGGAGCTTTTGGTATTGTAAAATGTGGACCGCTAAGGTAACCAATCAGAATTCTCCTTTTCATCGCAGACCAGTTCAGCCATATAATATATTCGCATGTTTTCCAAAACTTAATTGGTTTCACTGGTTTCATTTACTTTTTTGTATTAAGATAGATTCGTGGACAACGTTTAAAGGAAATGAACTTTTGAGTTTTAGCTATTTTTCCACCCGAAAAAGTTGAAAAAAGTAGCTTTCAAACCCGTGGCACTCCTCCCTAAGTATACGTTGTTACCTTGCGGGGGGGGGAGAGTAAAAGTGGTGACGTAGGCGAAGATTGCCAAACAAACTATGGCGACGTCGACGGAAGAAATCAGTGGGAATATTGAAATGGCTGCTCCTTTAACTCCTTCCTCACACGTCCAGCTCGCTAAACAGTGGCTCTACCAACGAAAAACACAGATGAAACCCTGGGCGGAATTTTTCAAGAGCTCGCGCTTTAGCAAACCGAAGACAGTGGCCGAAGCGGGAAAAAGGGTTGTGAAGAACTTGGAAGACTACCAAAGCAACTACATCTTGATCACCATCCTTTTGTTCTTTTACTGTGTGTAAGTACTTCTTTGATAACCTTTGAGGTTTGCGCTTTTAAGGAGAAGAATTCTTTGCTGTTATCCTGTATTTGCTTAAGGGATCAGCTCTTGGCTTAAGCGAAACTGACATGTTTTACACCGTTTCTACACTTGGCTGGTTCTTCATCGATATCAATGGTAATATTCTCATGTATCTGTCGTTAGTCCTTGTCAAGTTAAAGGAGCTTCCTTAAATGGTACACTATTCGTTTTAAACCCTCTTTATCGAGAGAAATATGTGGAGTATTGGTTGTGAAAGAATTATATTTTCAAGGGAAAACCAATTAGCAGTTCACTGCGTCCGAATAAAGCTACTGAACTTTGTAAAGCTTGATTGCAATACCGAACCGTGTTCTTTTTCGCTAGTATAAAGTCTTCTTAAGAATGATCGGCTTGAACATTTAATTATTTTTCCTGTAAGGAATTTCTTCTGATATTAGAAACAGGCTACATTCTGCGCTTGCACGCATATTGCTCAATGTTTATGAACATGAAAAACATAAGCACATTCTTTCTAGAATGCTACCATATCCATGCCTACACGTTTGTGGTTCTTGCAATCACAACATGCTATCATTACGCTGTTAGCCACGAATAAAGCAATTCAATCAGGTATAAGATCTGATTATTTTGTAAAAATGTTGGAGTTTGTCCACTGAAATGGGAAGGTCTGACTTTTAGTTTTAGCAGGAGGTCAAGGGGGAGAGCAACCTCGTCCCTGGGTGCTTTTTTCATCAAACGTGGGAGGGCGACCTCCCACATTTGAAGGAGAAAGCACCCTGGGGACAAGGTTGAGGGAAGAGTGTACTCCCCTAAATTTGGTTGGGTAGTACAGCTTTACCCTGCTGTTTTCCTATTGCCCATCAGAATATTGGCTTTCTCTACTCTACATTTACATGTGCTGACCAAAAAAAAAAAAAAAAAAATCAGGACACCATCTTGGACCAGACCTTCCAGGAACAATGTCTGTTGCTTTGGTTTGTGTAATGTTTAAACATTATAATTTTCTGTGAATATAATGAATATTTTCTATTGCCTTTGATAGCCTTACATCCCCACTACTGCTCATTGCATTGTCAGTTGCTGGAGGTGGCTGCTTATTCGTATCATACAAAAACCAAGGGAAAAAGATTAGAGTGTTAGGTGAGAATTTTAGTACAGACACAGATCTGTGATTTGATATTGATAAAAGGATCCATTTGTATCATCTGCTTGTATCATGCAAAACAGTTCACCAGACAGCATACATTATCATGTCTTAACAGATACATGTATGTCATCTGTCACTGATATAGTTAGAATGTTTAAATTAACTGGCCCCCTTTGTCTAAAGAGGTTGTGGTTCTCAGAGACGCTATCCTATGTATAAATCACTTTCTAGGGGATATTGTTAACATCACAAAACCAAAAACACTTATCCACTGGATGAGTGATTTACCCAATGAATAGCATATTTGCCTATTCTTGCACACACAGAGAGGGCCACATAATTTAAATTAGGTACATAACAAATGATTGTTTACAATAACTTATTATTAGGTCTGCTAAATATGGGAACTCTTGGAAGCGAGGTGGCCTCATGGTTAGTGCACTCATTTCTGGATCAAGCAGTCTGGGTTTGAGCCCTGGCTGGGGACATAGTGTTGTGTTCTCGGGCAAGACACTTTACTGTCACAGTGCCTCTCTCCTGGCCTTATGTGCCACGAGGCACAAAGAAGCTAAGTAGTAGTAGTAGTAGCCTCTCTCCACCTAAGGTGAATAAATGGGTACCAGTAAATTTAATACTGGAGCGCCCTGGGATGGACTAGCATCTAATCTGGGGAGAGTAGAAATTGGCTCTGTCACTTAACCTCTTTAGTACGGGAACTACCGGTACCAATAACATTTACACTACCAGCACTAGAAAACTAATGTTTACATGAAATTATCCTTGTCCAATTTGTAGGTCGTGACCTAAGCAGAGTGGAGCAATATGGACTTGTTTTATTGATCAGTCTTCCACTGTTCATTCTGGGTTCAGCAGGGTCAACGGTCTTTTGGGTCATAGGTGTGTAAATGCAATATTTATTATACATAGAAGTGAAAATACATAGAAAATACACTACTTGTAAAATCCATATGAAACTTCATTCACGACCTGAGTAGCATATGTTCCATATCCTTGCTAGTGAGGATATTGATGACATTATTTCCCACTTTTTCATGGTTGTTTGTGCAAACAGTCAACAAAAATGACGAGCAAAAGTTTTTCTATATATTAATAATTAAAAGAAAATTACATGGTGGCTTGGTGCCCCTACGTAAGGGCATAACAATGCTTTCAAACTATGATTTGATCATTTGCATAAGGGGCTACTGCAATCTTGTAATAAAAATACAGATTGGATATAACAAACACTGTGATATTTGACTATATTGGAGAGTAAACAAAAGAAACCATGCTCAATTCTTTAAATATGTAGCCAACTCCATACTTCCAAAATTATGACATAAAGGAACCAAATTCATCTATTCCGGGGTCAGAAAACTCCCTGATTCAGTGCTGGGTTATTATGACTGAAATTAAATGTGACTTACAAAGAGCTGTGTTGTTTTGATTTTCAGGTGCCTCATTCTTTGTAATTGGTCTCCATGCTTCTCTCTTGAGTACATCAGACACACCCGAAATAACCGAACAAATAACAATGGAAGAAGTTTAATTACAGATAAACCAAATGCAACGGGAATTGAGGACAAGTGAAAAAACAAGGGACAAAGCAACGTAGGATAAGGACTCGGCTTTGGAAAGTCATCAATATTGAACATAGTGTGGAATGGATATTCTCCCTACAGTATTCAAATAACTGTTGGTTCCCATTCGCATTGTCTGTATCATCCTTTAATAACTGTAAAAAATTCATTTCCTTCAAAAACTCTGCAATAGCTTGTGTGGTTTTAACTTATTTTTCTGGGAGTATTTTGATAAAGGTTAAATATGGCTCTGATGTACAAATAATAGATGGTTAAGTTGAAAAGCGATGTATATTGCCGGTATATTTAATGAGTGCTCTACTGCTGAGCACTTAATAATTGGGACCCCTTTCCTCCCTTGGATTCCCATTTTTTGACTCCTCTTGCCCTGTAGAATTCCTGTGAGTCTTGTACCTGTGGCTTAGTGAAAAGAATGACATAAATAAAAGAATGACATGTTATCTGTCTTGATAATACTTATTTGCTGACTTGTCCGGCCCCTATCATCTCTTGAAAGCTACACTGAATCTAATGTTGGAATCCCTGATTAGCTTCACTCGGTGTCCCCCTGACTCTTACCCTTTACAACATGAGATGACTTGGTACACACTGATTTATGCAGATGTGTTTGGTATGATAACAAATAACAAAACTGTGATCACACTTATTCTTCTGTGGTTGCATTTACTCTTTACATGGAGTAAACAACAGTGTAGAAAAGTTTGCCTAATTGCAGGTTATAGAATAAGTGACAAAATCAAGGTAGAACTTTCCGACCTAGGCAGGGAACTGCAAGCAACTTGACTGGGTCATTTTCTTTGTTTGTTTGTTTGTTT